TTTTCTTGGGAAAACGGAATTGTCAGATGAAGGTAATTGGCAACGGAAAAATGAGGGGGGAAGAAAAAACGAAAGCTAAGTTATGATAACAGTAAAGATATAGAAGTGAATTGCTGCTCCAGAGTGAGAGGAGCAAAAAACATACAGAGATTCACAGAAAAAAGAGACATACAGACAGAATATGAAACCTAAAAAAAAGAAAAAAAAAATCAGATCTCAGAAAACCCAACGAAACTCAAGTGACTCAGTCAAGGCCAAGGAAACAAGAGAAGTTGAGTCGACATTCGCCCGTGTGGTCTCGCCTGTAGCAACGACGCTGGCAAGGTCTCACGCCGAAGGAGTTGAAGATGGCCTCCTCTACGTTGATGTCCTCGTCCGACGTCCTTATCTGGAAGGAGGTCGGGACGTTAGGGGAGTTTGCATGGGAAACAGGGCGGAATCTATGTGGTTAGGGGGCTTTGCAAAGGGATTGCTTGGGTGTTGTGATAATGCTGTGGTGTAAGTGAAAGTAACTTTTTTTTTTTTTTTTACTCACTGAGGATCTGAGTTTATTCCCTTTCTCTTGCTCATTTCTTCCTCTCTTTTACTTGAAGGGCAAATCTCTCTCTACAGAAAATTTTATACAAAGAGCAAGAAGGTGATATAGGGTACCGTGGGTGAGAAATGTATATGAATAGTGCTCTTCAAACCTTTTTCATCATGGCCCAGCTTGATTTCGTACACTCCATTATATCATATCGTTATCTCAACCCGATATCAGTTCATATATATATGTGTGTGTGTGTTAAATATATATATATATATATATATATATATATATATATATATATATATATATATATATATATATATATATATATATATATATAGACACACACACACACACACACACACACACACACACACACACACACACACACACACACACACACACACACACACACACACACACACACACACACACATATATATATATATATATAGATAGATAGATAAATAGATAAACTGACAGATAGATGTAGTGTACCCTGAGGTCCACCTGGCTGTTAATTTATATATACGAACAAATCGACTTGTACGGATATACACGAATGTCCCCTAAAACTTCCGTTCTCTGTTAAGAATTACAATTAATTTTCTTTTTATTTTAAGCGGTCACTATTTGATACTCTCGTATACAGTTATTATTTCTCTCTCACTACATATTTTTACCTCCTATCCCAGATGTTTTGTAAGGTGCATATACTACATAAGTATATACCTTTTAGTACTCCATTCCACTTGATTTTATTTCTAAAAGACACACCTCCGAATTACGTGTGAAGCAATCAGGTTAACAGGCATGTAGCTCCAGCCAATGAGAGCCGCTGTAGGTCGTGCCCCCTTGCCGTGATTTCCAAGAGCATGAGAGTTTACGTTCACGACTGGCTGGACATGAATTTTTTTTTCGTATTTTGTGGTGGTGTTGGCGCATGAACAGAAGGAACAGTTACCGAGTGATGTATTTTTTTACGATTATTTAATAAGTTGTTTACGCGTAATTAACTGTGATAATCCTATCCTGCAGTCCAGCCAGTCCAGCTTTTTTTCAATATAGAGATAATAACCGACAAAGCATATAATGATATTTACAATAATATAAGAAATATCTACAAGAACATATGAACTTGTGTAATGAGCATGAGCGAAGAAATGAATAAAGGGAATTAAACCAAATGAATGAAAAGGGTAAACGAATAGATTGATCTAATGTGAAAACATCAATGAATATATGTGATGATAATTAATCGAAAACGGAGTTGAAAACGAGTGTCCAGAGCTACCTTCCGGTTTTAACATTGAAAGCGCGTTGAAGGCGCTACAATACATATATATAATAGTTGTCATCATTATCATTATGTGGCAACTCTGATATATAAACATAATTCTAACAATTTGTTTAGTTTATTGATTTGAACATCTTGTGAGGACAGTGGGTGACTTTCAACAGGAGTTACAGGTGATATACGTTAGGGGCGTAGCTGGTAGCCCTGCAGTGTCTCTTCTCTCTCTCTTTTCTCTCTCTCTCTCTCTCTCTCTCTCTCTCTCTCTCTCTCTCTCTCTCTCTCTCTCTCTCTCTCTCTCTCTCTCTCTCTCTCTCTCTCACCATCTCTCTAGTTCTCTCCCTAACCCTCTTCCATTATTTCATCGCCCCTCTCACTCACTTTACCTTCTCCACACCTCCCTTCTTCCCTCCTTCTCTCATCCTTGTTCCTTCCCTCACCCTACTTTAATGACCTCTCCCCTCTACTTCACCCTCGACTTCCCACGGTACCCAAGACCCTAGTGGTAATCGACTGTGCCAAGTTTGACCTGCGCCCAGAAAGTAACGACAATACTGAAGTGTCCACAGAGCAAACGATTCCGACCCTTACCGTCGAATATTCTATAACTACATGTTAATTTTTATCTTGATTATACTCAAAATGTTTGTTAAAAAATCCTTATTCTCAATCACTATGTTTGTAATCATTATTGTTGTCGATATTATAGTTATCTGATGTTCACTATATAATTGTATTGTCATACCCAGTGTAACCGAAATAACATGTGACCACAAGACCCTTACCCTGTTGTAAACCAGAGAGCCTGTACTGACATTTCCCACGAAAGAACAATGTTGCCATATTCTTATGTTTAGTGAATATTTTGTAAACCATTCAAAATCTCAGAGAGCCGAAGTCACTCTGCCCTCAGCATCGGCTCAGGCAACACCTCGAGTTCTCTCTCGAGACCGCTCGCCTCGCGGGCGTGGCATGAGGCCTCGCTCCTCCTTGGGCGACTCTGCCACGCCTGACCTCTGTACACCACCTACCAAATTCCCGTGCAAATAAGAGTGCTTGAGACTAAGACAACTTTAACTTCAAAACCACTTCATTACAGTGGCGGCAGCAAGGTGGGATCAAACCACATCATTACAGTGGTGCCAGCAAAGTGGGATCAATCCACCTATCATTACACCTACCTCTCTCCCTCACCTTCAGCCATCCCTCACCCCCCTCTTTCCCTCACCCTCCCTTTTCCACTCACTCTCCCTCCTTCCCTCACCCTCCTCCTCCCTCCTCCCCTTATCCTTATTCCTTCCTTCACTCTCCGTCCTTCTCTCATACTCCCTCCTCCCCTCACCCCTCTCTTTCCCTCATTACCTCCCTCCTTCCCTCACCCTCATCCATCCTTCCTCCTTCCCTCCTCCTCCTTCCTCCCCTCATCCTTGTTCCTTCCTTCACCCTCCCTCCTCCTCTGACCCTCATCCTCACCTCACCTCCTTCCCTCACTCTCATCCTTCCCCCACCCTCCCCTCATCCACCCATTCCCCCTTTTACCCTCCCCTCATCCTTATTCCTGCCCTCACTCTCCTTCCTTCCCTCACCCTTACCTCCCTCCTCCTTCCTCCCCTCACCCTCATCCTCCCCTCAGCCTTCCCCCCTCTTTTCCTTACCATCCCTCCTCCCTCATCTCCTCCCTTCTCCCCTCACCCTCCCTGGTTCCCTCACCCTCCCTCCTCCCCTCACCCTCCCTCCTTCCCTCACCCCCTCCCTCCTTCCCTCAACATCCCTCCTCCCCTCACCCCCCTCCCCTCACCCTCACCCCCTCCTCCCCTCACCCTCCCTCCTTCCCTCACCCCCTCCCTCCTTTCCTCATCCTCCCTCCTTCCCTCACCCTCATCCTTCCCCCCTCCTCCCCTCCTCCTTCCTCCCTTCACTCTCCCTCCTCCCCTCCTCCTCCCTCCTTCCTTCACCCTCCCTCCTCCCCTCACCCCCCTCCCCTCACCCTCACTCCTCCTCTCACCCTCCCTCCTTCCCTCACCTTTACCTCCCTCCTCTCCTCACCCCCCCCCTCTTTTCCTCCTCCCCTCCCCTCCCTCCTCCCCTCACCCTCACCCTCCCTCCTCCCCTCACCCTCCCTCCTCCCCTCACCCTCCCTCCTCCCCTCACCCTCCCTCCTCTCCTCCCCTCACCCTCTCCCTCCTCCCCCTCAATACTCACGCTGTTGATTTCGTTGCTCGTGTCTCCCGAAGCGACCGACGGGGCAGCAAGTATAATCCTGACGACCAGCGCCACGACCACCAGCACGAGAGGGAACACGTGGCGGGCCATCCTGGAAGACGATGAACTAGTCTTGTGCAAAATATAGAGAGAGGCAGGTGTGTGTGTTTCATTTGGGTGAGGTTAGTATGATGGATGGAATGATTGTTATCGTTATTAGGATTACGGAATTGGGATGAATAAGATGAGTGACGTGAGTAAAATGAAGGATATGTGTGAGATGAGTGAAATGAATGAATGAAATGAGTAAAATGAAGGATATGTAAGTTATGTAAGAGATGAGTGAATTTAATGAATGAAATGATTAAAATGCACGATATAAATGAAATGAGTAATATGAAAAAAAGTGAATAAAGCGAATGAAATGAACCGCAATTCATTAAAAAGAATATTAATAGAAAATCACACCTAGAAGTAGAATTACTGTTCCAATTTTATTTGAATTCGAATTCTTACCATAATTTCCATCGTCAACTTCATTATCAACATTATCAAGATCATTATCATTACTTAAAACCATCGTACTATTTATAGTTTTTAACATCGACATTATACTCATTATTATCATCAATATTGTTGGTCTGGACGCTATATCAATAATAATTATAATTATAATGATAATGATGATAATAATAACAATAATAATAATAATAATAATGATAAAATGACAATGATAAGGATAATAATAATGATAATAATAGGAATATTAATAGAAATAATGATAATAATAATAGTAATGATAATGATAATAATACTGATAATGATAATGATAATAATAATGACAATAATAATGATAAAAAATAATAATGATAAATAATAGTAATACTAATAACCACATTTTTATACTGCGATAATAGTAATAAAAATTATAATGATAAGGATAATGATCATGATAACAAAAAGATAATAATAATG